CCGTCCGTCCGTGCGTGCGTGCGTCCGTCCGTCGTCAACAGTTGGGCACAAATCTTAACCGCTCGACGTACGGTCACGTATTCGGCACATCGGGGGGGGGGGATCGTCAAAACGAGTTGGGATGTCGAAGCTGGGGGTCAAAGTCAAAGGTCAAGAGTGTAAAAAGAAGGGGAACATTCACTCCTTAACTTAAGGTATAGGAGGAAATGCAGAATTGCGGCACAAATCTAAACGGCTCGACCTAGGCTCGTGATAGTCGGTGTATAGCATCATGGTAGAAAAGCCATCACTGTGCCGAAATTGGAGGTCACAGGTCAAAGGTCAATAGGCACAGGGCAGATTTTAGACATTTTCTGAGGACATGGTCTGACAGAGCGATTGAAAAACTTTTTTGTTTTCAGCGGTGACCTAGCTTTTTTATGGCTTTATTGAAGGGACATGAAATGTCCCTTCTGCTGACATGCGAAGAGTAAGTGTCGGATAACCTTTTGACCCTCAAGAGGAGGGTTAAACATGGATTTGTTTACTGTCTGTTAGAAAGAATTTGCTGCCGGTTTGCTAGTAGAATCTATACTCATGCCTGGATGTACGAGGCTACAATGTCACAGTGAAATTTCAAAAGCCTAAATTTGGTTGAAGAAGGTTCCCTAAATTCTATAATTTCTATGGCATTCTGTACTGTCCAGTATTTTACATGTAACGTATGCCACTGCCAGTGGCCACTGCCAGTGCATGTGGTGGTGCTGTGTAGTTTTTGCCTGCGTTAATTAGTTACGGTGGCAGCTCTCTATTGCAGCTGTAGGCTTGCGTGTAGGTAAATGGATGAGTGCTTACCTATTCTGTCTTGCAAATAGTTGTTGCTACTACATACATGGAGCTTCCATCTTTAATCTGAAGACACTTAAACGTATCGCGCCATCTCCTGGCAACTTTCATAACGATCCTAACAAACATTCCTTTGAGAAGGTTCCTGATACCATCCCTGTGCATTCCACTGTTTCGGCGTGTATGTGAACACAATTTGGACTAACAGGGTTTACTAGAATCCCACCACTCCACCACAGAGTCACCGCAGTAGACGTTAGATGAGCGCTGTTCGCTCCGCGGCACTTGTTTTGTTACACTTTCAGTATGCATGTTCTCAAAGATAACTTGGTAATGTGCGGAAGTAGCTCATAGACTGTTTCCTTCAGGATACTTTTTTCTGGCTAACATCACACTTTGTGTTTCAGAGTAGTAATTATTTTCGAACCTGCTGACAATTGATTTATTTTTAATTATTTATAAATATAAAATTAATATATTAATTATTTTATATATATAAAATATTTATTAACTTTTTCAATTTTCCACTCCCATGTAAAGTAAACTATGAACAATCAAGACTAAATTAGATAAATTTGCGTTTTACACGTTGCCAGCACTGAAATGAGATTTTCATTAGGACCCACTAAAATTAATCATGATCCAAAACCATTAATAAAGTTTAGGCATGAATAACAAACATAGCCTAACGTACATAGCAGGGCCGTAGCTAGCAAGGGGCAGCTGGCCCCACCAAAAAAAAGCTTAAAGATTAGAAAATACTCGCGCTAAATGGTTTGGGAGTTTAGGTATGTAAGTAACCTACCTGAAATGGCTGGAAATGGCATTTCAGAGCTTCTATATTCAAAATTTCCTGGGGGAGCGGTCCCCCCCCCACCTAGAAGCGAGCGCCCGCTTCATCTTGTGTCCCCATCCCCCCCCCCCATTACATTAATTCCTAGTATAGCTCCGGCCCTGCATTCACGTGTATGATTTGTTTTTTGTTACAGTTGCATCATGGTTCTCTCTCGTCGTGATGTCTGGATTTGTGTCCTGCTCTTTTGTTCTACCTGATCAACCGATTCATCCTCAAAGCTGTAAGTAATAGCGAGAATGTTGCCCCGTGTTGTATGACACTGGAATCGAATGTTGCTCTGTGTTGTTTGGCACTGGAATAGAGTTGTTGCCCCGTGTTTGTATGACACTGGAATAGAATGTTGCTCGTGTTGTTTGACACTGGAAGAGAATGTTGCTCTGTGTTGTATGACACTGGAATAGAATGTTGCACCATGTTGTATGACACTGGAATCGAGTTGCTCCGTGTTGTATGGCAACTGAATAGAGTGTTGCCCCGTGTTGTATGACACTGGAATCGAATGTTGCTCCGTGTTGTATGGCACTGGAATATGGTGTTGCCCCATGTTGTATGACACTGGAATAGAATGTTGCCCGTGTTGTATGACACTGGAAGAGAATGTTGCTCCGTGTTGTATGACACTGGAATAGAATGTTGCCTCGTGTTGTATGACACTGGAATAGAATGTTGCCCAGTGTATGACACTCTACACACTACAAAGTATATACATGACACTGTAACTGATATATTATAACTGTATTGGTGGAGTGTATGACACTGGAATAGAATGTTGCCCAGTATATGACACTGGAAAAGAATGTTGCCCAGTGTATGACACTGGAATAGAACGTTGCCCCGTGTTGTATGACACTGGGAATAGAATGTTGCCCCGTGTTGTATGACACTAGAGAGAATGTTGCTCCGTGTATGACACTGGAAGAGAATGTTGCCCCGTGTTGTATAACACTGGAATAGAATGTTGCTTCGTGTATGACACTGGAATAGAATGTTCTGCCAGTGTTCTGACACTGCGAAGAGAACTGTTGCTCCGCCTGTATGACACTGGAATAGAATGTTGCCCAGTGTTTGACACTGGAAGAGAATGTTGCTCCGTGTATGACACTGGAATAGAATGTTGCCCAGTGTTTGACACTGGAAGAGAATGTTGCTCCGTGTATGATACTGGAATAGAATGTTGCTCCGTGTATGACACTGGAAGAGAATGTTGCCCAGTGTATGACACTGGAAGAGAATGTTGCCCTGTGTTGTATGACACTGGAATAGAATGTTGCTCCGTGTATGATACTGGAATAGAATGTTGCTCCGTGTATGACACTGGAAGAGAATGTTGCCCAGTGTATGACACTGGAAGAGAATGTTGCCCAGTGTATGACATTAGTCTACACTCTACAAAGTACACTGTAACTGATATATTGTAACTGTATTGATGGAGTATTAATGTCTGACACTGGAACTGTACGGTGGTCTAGACTAAGTCTTGACTGTTTACTCGTGGGCGTGTGTTGGTAAATGTGTTGCAGCGCTGTTTTTGAAGACGGCGTACACACAGGTACCGGTTCCCCATGTGTGTGTGCCAGATTTTCCACATTCAGTGGCTTAGGCTAGTGTTCCAGACCCGCTACAGCCAGCGGTACCAGATTTCCCCAGAGATGTACAGATTTGCAAAAATGCGTTTGAAATGGTTTGAATCTTTACCATGTTTTCGAGAAACCCTTGAAATTTCTTTAATTGATTTTGTATGCGGTTAGGGAGAACTTCTTTGGGATAGTATTTATGCGTTCACTTTCGTGATGTGATAGTATTTATATGATGATATTTATTTACTTTAGTTGCATATTGTTCAATGTTCGTTGATAGTTTAGTAAGTTACGGTTTGTTTCTATTCGTTGGGGTATGTGTAATTTCTTTTGTGTTCTGTTGTTCGGTAGGTTTGTTAATTGTGTTTAGCATTGGCAGCTCAGCAAAGTGATGTATACGTGCATGCTTGCTCGGCGGCTGTGGTCTTGGCATAGACAGTCTAGCTGGCAGAAAGCATTGCTATTTATTGATGACCAGACTATTTGCTATTCCTGAGCATTAAATTGCATGCCTCTTGCTGCTGCACATGTGCGACTGCTAGCTGATGCAGATGGAAGGGATAGCAACTGGGTCTCTTATCTAGGACAGCATCTTTTAAGGGGACAACGTCTAGAATAATTTACATTGCTCTTATTTCGTGGCTTCTGTTGATACTTGATAGTCAGCCAAAATCCAAGCCAATCCAAGCCAGAATTCGTTACTAAATAATACTATACAGGCGGTAGCTGCTATATCATCGTCAGTAAGCTCAGAATAGACAGCTGTTGACGATGCGTTATTAATGCTGTTCGCTGTTTCCTGTGCAGTCGCGGGATGGAAGATTTGACGTGTAGATATTCCTCGATCGTTATGTAAGATTCATTGATTGCAAATCCACGAGTCAATGCAGACTGCGTTTTGCTGGACCGTGACTGCGCTATAGGTGGAAGACAAATAGTGCACGGCTATATATATATATATATATATATATATATTCCCGCTGTTCATATAAAATCTTTAGATTATCGATCGTCATGTAGCGTGGGATGCCGTGTAGACTTCTTGGATGGCAGTGTTCAGAGTGACAAGCAAATCGACGAGTCACAGGAAAGGCGGATCTTTGTTATATTATACAGGAATACAAGTTGCTCATCTCAAAATGCCCGGCGCCTGTGAAGAGTCGAATCAGACTGTAATACCCCAGCAGGGGTAGAACTGT